CTCTGGAAAAGGGAGGTTTTATTGCCTTTTTATTGCCTGAGAAGTGCCAGGAGAAAACCTTGGACTATTAGAGGAGAGCAGAGGAGATGAAAGAACTTTCATTATCTTTGAAGCCAAGTCACTTTAGGCAGCTCAGAAGTACAAACTGCCCTTTTCCAAGGGAATCTTTGCCTGTGTAGGTGCAAACACCCCAAATTTTCCCCTTTAATCCTCAAACCTTCCCAAGAACAGAAGGGATGGAGCAAAAGGCCGGGATTTTACAAACAGGATGGCTCTTTCAACACTTGGTGCCAGGGAAGGCTGGGTTCCTCTGCCGGAGTTTCACCCTGGGAGGGGCTTTCCTGACCCAAATTTTGAGGTTAAACCCCCTTTTTCTGTCAGGATTGGGGCGCCTTCCCCATGGGGGTGACCCCACACTGTGGCCAGGAGGATCTGTGGGATCCATCCCATCCTGTCCTGCTCAGCCTGGCTGCCTGTGCCCAGATAAACACTGACTCATGTTTTTCTGTCCCACCCTGGGCACAGCAGCTTTTTTAAGGCTGCCTTTTCCAGCCATTCCCTTTTCCCTGTGCCGTTCACACGGGCGTGGTGCAGCCTCAGGGATGCAGGGACAGCCTGGGGATGCCCGAGGCTGCTGGACAGGGGGGTCCCGGATCCAGGATGGAGAACTGGGATGTGTCTGAGTGGATGCAGGTAGGGATTAAGCTTCCCACTGCCCTCTGTGCCTCAGTTTCCCCCATAGCTGTGCCTCCTCCATTTGCTCTGGGGGTCTCCAGGTGCTGGGGGAGGTTTGGGAGAATTTCCAGCCTGGATCCTCAGCCTGCTGCTGCTGCTCCCATGGCATCCCACATCCCTGTGCCCTTCCCAGCCTGCTGGAGCTGGACACAGGGGTCAGGGGTGGTAGCAGGGCTGGAATCACAGCCAGGAGCAGCTTTTGGGCAGGCTGGAACTTGGGGTTTGGAGCTGTAAACTCCCTTTTGATGGGCTGGTGGTCGATTCACACCCAGGAATGGGAGCTTCATCCCGGGTATCCCGGTGGGGAGTGGGATGTGGGCAGCCTCATCCCTGTGGCATCTGTTGCCATTTTGGCAGCAATCACCTGCTAAAATAAAGGGGAATTGGAGCTGGGTGCCCAGAGCTGCTTTGCCATTTGGTGCCTTGCTCCCTGAGATTCCTGAGAGCTGGATCCCAAAGGGATGTCCCTCCTGTGTAACCCGGGGCTGGAAACATGTGGGGATTGATGTGGTGGCTTTGGGTGCCAGCTCGGAATGGGGTTTCCATCCACTTTTCCTGGGGCATGGGATGCCATGGAATTCTCAGGGATGCTGGGATCCAGCCAGAACTGTGAACCCCCATGGAATTGGGACCAGCACCTGCCACATGTCCCCAGGGACATCCCTGTCCCCCAGGAACATCCCAGCCCTCCTGATGATATCCCTGCCCCTCAGTGACATCCTTGTCCCTCAGGGACATCCCTGCCCCTCAGGGACACCCAGGACTGTGGCAGGGCTCGGTGGGGACCGGTGCCAGCAGCTCCAGGGGGATGTGGAGATCCCGTTTTGCCCCCAGCCCTTCCCACAGCCGAGCTCCGAACATCTGCCGGCAATTCCCCTGTGCCGGGGCTGTGCCGGAGCTGCCCGCGCCTCCCACGCCCGCAGGAAGCGGGTTTGGGGTTTGGGGTGCGCTGGGAGCTCGGAAACCTCAGTGGGAAGAGGAGAGGGAGGCGCTACAAGGAAGGAAAGGCAAAGGCAGAGTAGCTGCAGGGGAGGAGGCGGCAGCAGGGCGGGCACGGACCCGGCTGACCCCGGGGGATTTGTTTGTCCCGTTCCGGGGACAAGAATTTTTTAGGCGGGACAAACACCCACCCAAGGGCTCCCCCAGTTCCCCCAGAGCCGCAGAGCCTGGCAGGTCCCAGCCCGGATTCATTTCATGATATCCATCAAAGCGTGATGCGCTTTGACAGCTCAGGCAGGGCCTGATGTACTCAAAAAGCTGCTCTGCTGGTTTGATTTGATTTAATTTGATTTGATTTGATTTGATTAGGTTCTATCAGCTCTCCTCAACCTGCCCCGCTAAAAGCCGGGCCCGGCGGGCAGCAGGCGGTGCTGGCAGCCTGCCCATCCCTATAAATCCTGGAGCAGGGATCCGGCACCGCCCTGCCCGCCGGGATGCGCTGCCCGAGCATCCCCTGCCCTCCCCGCGTCCCATCCCGCCGCCTTTCCCCGCTCACATCCGTCCCCCGCCCGCCTGCCTTGGCCGGGGCAGAGCTTTTTTTCGCCCAGAAAAAGCTGGATTTGAACATTTTCTGCTGTTCTCTCGGTTTCCTGTTGCCTTCCCAAGAACAACATCCCTGACCTCATCCTCCCCCGGTATGCGCCGGGATGCTGCCGGTGCTCGAGCCGCCCCGTCGGGAATCCCACCCGGCCTTCCCTGGGTACCAAGGCAAACACAGCTGCGGGAATGACGGAGAAAAGGCTATTTTGGGTAAACCCTCTGCTCCTTTTTGTTGAGGTAGGAGGACAAGGATGAATAGATCGAAGGGAGAGCAGTGGTTTTGGCTTGAGCAGGGAATTTTCAGCCCGGAGAGGAGCGATGAAACACTCTTAGTGTTATGTGGCTTTTTTTTTTTTTTTTTTTTTTTTTTTTTTTTTTTTTTTTAATTTCCTCCCAGACTTCTGAGTTTTTTTGCTGTGAGAAATGAGGAGGTTTCAGGCAGCTGCCCTTGATATTCTCCATTTTTGGGAGAGTTTTGGAGAGGCAGGTGGGAGTTTGCTGGGTGATTTTCCAGCAGGTCTGGGCTCCTGGTGCCCATCTGGAATGTTCATGGTGGGATTGTCCTGCTGCTGCTGTGGAGTTTGGGATTGCTTCTCGTGAGCCCTGGAAACAAACCCATCCTCTGCCAAATCCCACGGGGAAGCAGTGTCCTGGTGTTCCCATTGCTCTCTGCCATCCCCATCCCAGCTGGGAGCAGAGACCAATCCCTGCCAAGCCTGGCAGGGCAAAATTAACAGAGAATTCAGGTAAATAATCCAATAAAATCAGCTTTGGAACAAGCTGAAAATCATCAGGGCCAGCAATTAAAAATAATACTAAAGGGAGGATTTTACATTAAAAACATGGGAGTGGACACAGTGGGAAGAGGAGTGGGAATTTCCTCTGTCCCTCTGGAGCAGGGGCTGAATGTGGGGTAACAGTGAGGGGTGGGAGTGTCTCGCTTGCCCCATGGATGACACACAGTGGAAAAGGTGAAAAGGGGGCTGTGGAGCAAGTCCAGGGAGCTTTGGGGTTCTCTGGATGGTGGGATGGGATGGGATGGGATTGGGATATGATGCAATGGGGTGTGGTGCAATGGGAGGCAATGAAGTGGGATGGGATATGAGGCAATGGGGTGGGGTGGGATGGACGTGGGGTTCTGGTCTCCCCCACCTTTCTGGAGCTCAGCCTTTGGGAAGGGGATGACCTGAAATCCCTGTTCCATAAAGCAACCCTCATCAATCACCATTAACATCTCTGGGAGAGTCAGTTCTGCTGATTCTGTTCCTTCCACCGGATCATCGACTTCAAGTCATCTCTGTGGCCATCGAGCTTTTCCTGGGACGAGGCCTCTCCCCAGCTCCAGCCCATTCCCAGACTTTGCACTCAAATCTAATTTATTCTGGCTGCTTATCGTGCCCAGGAGCTGGGCCAGGGGGAGGTGACAGGGTGGGATTTCACCCCTGGCTGGGGACTCTGCAGTAGCAATGGCAGGAAGGAACAGCAGGAAAAGCCCAGGGAGGAACAATAGCCTCCAGCACAAACACCATGGGAATCTGAAAGCAGGGCTGGTGGGAGGGTGAGGCTTAGGGACCTTTGGGGTGAAATTCCTTGGGAACAGGCAGGGTCCTTGGGCGTCCCCATGTCCCTCCTGTGAGGACACGTCAGGGTGGGATGCTCTGGGCTTCTTGTCAGCCTTTGGGGATTTTGGTTTTAACCCTCCTGATCCAGGCAGGGGGTTTTATATCCTGGATTCTCACAGGGGAGAGGTTGAAGCCCCTCAATCCAGGCTCTGGAGCCTGGAGTCTGACAATGGCCAATGATGCTGCTGATTTACCACAATTAACATATTTAAACATACAGGGCATCAACTGAATTGGGAAAACAACCCTGTGAGAATGCAGGATATAAGATAGACAATGTCCTCCTCATTTATACCTTGAATTAATTATTATTTAATTTATTATTTATATATTTCTATTATTTATATATTTTTATATTATTTAATGATTAGTAACTTGTGGTTAATTGGTTCTTTGTGTGCACCTGAGGGTGCTGCTCATGTTGGGTCCTTGGCCAGCACAGTCCCCAGAGGGAGGCTGCACAGGGTTAATTATTGCCACACCCTGATTGGGTTTCCTCCTTTAACCCCACATCCGGAGGTGAGCGGCCTTTCTTTGATCCTGGCTTTAATCTTACAGCTCATGCCCTAGGCCGGTGTGGAGGGAGCTGCCGCTGTGCCCTGGGACACTGAAGTGTCACCTGTCCCCATCCCGACAGAGAGGAGAGAGGTGAGAGGGTGCCTGGTGTCACTGGGGTGTGTGGGGAGCTTCCCTTTGGGTTTTCAGTCCATAAAAAAAAAATAGAGGACCCATAATATGTTGCAGATTGTAAAGTCAGAGCTGTTGATGAGCTGTTAATGAGCATTATCCCGGTTTTCCCTCTGGAAGTAGGCGGGCAATCAACGTTTTCTGCAGGATGAGGCTGCAGCCACATCCTGGTGAAGCTGAGGGGCTGAATCACGTCCTGATGTCTCACGGATGGGGGAGGGAATCAGGGAGGAGCTGCGGGAGCATCTTGTTCGGGACCAGTGAGGTTCCATGAGATCCCCCATTCCTGCGTTTGTCCCTTCTCTCCCTGTCCCCAATTCCCAAATGTGTCGGGGTCCACTGTCCCTCCTGCTCTCCTCACTGTGATTAACACCGAGTGTTTGCTCATCAGGGGCAGATCCCTGGCTGCAGATCCCAGCTCCCCAGGATCACACGGATCAGCTGCTGCTCCCAGGGACAATGGCGCTTCCCAACCTGTCCGATTACCTGGACAGCCTCAACAATAACTACAGCGACTACCCCGACTACACCTACGAGGACACGGGCAGCGTGTGGGCAGACCCGGCCCACGACCCCAAGGACATCACCAGGATCCTGTCCGTCATCATCTACACCGTGTCCTGCGTGCTGGGCATCCTGGGCAACGGCCTCGTCATCGCCATCATCACCCTCAAGATGAAGAAGTCGGTGAACGCCGTCTGGTTCCTCAACCTGGCTGTGGCCGACTTCCTCTTCAACATCTTCCTGCCCATCAACATCGCTTACACGGCCATGAGCTACCACTGGATCTTCGGCACGGTCATGTGCAAGCTCAACTCCTTCCTCCTCATCCTCAACATGTACACCAGCGTCCTGCTGCTCACCACCATCAGCTTCGACCGCTACGTGTCCGTGGTGTTCCCGGTGTGGTCGCAGAACCACCGCTCCACCAACCTGGCCTACGGGGTCTGCGTGGTCATCTGGACCCTGGGCATCGTCATGAGCTGCCCCTCGCTCGTCTTCCGGGACACGGCGCAGACCCGGAGCTCCGTGATTTGCTTCAGCAACTTCTCCCTCTCCAGGAATAAATCCTACGAAGGGCTGGCTCTGGTGAGGCACCGCACGGTGAACATCACCAGGTTCCTGGCTGGCTACATCCTCCCCATCACCATCATCACCTTCTGCTATGTCGCCATCGTCCTCAACCTCCGTCGCAACCGCCTGGCCAAGTCCAAGAAGCCCTTCAAGATCATTGTCACCATCATTGTCACCTTCTTCCTCTGCTGGAGCCCCTACCACCTGCTGAACCTGCTGGAGACGGCGCCCGGCGCGGTGCCCTGGTCCGTGTTTGAGATCTTCATCCCGCTCACCACGGCTCTGGCAGCCTCCAACAGCTGCATGAACCCCGTCCTCTACGTCTTCATGGGCCAGGACTTCAAGAAGTTCAAGGTGACCCTCCTTTCCAGGCTGGTGAACGCCCTCAGCGAGGAGACAGGACACTCCAGCATCGTGCACAGGAGCTTCTCCAAGGTCTCCTCCATGACTGAGAAAGAGACAACGGTTGTGTAAACTCAGCCTGCAGGAGGGACAGAATCCCCTGGTGATGGCACTGTGATGGTGACCAGCCCTGGTGTGGTCAAACATTGTCCTGCACTGCCCATTTTTGACTGGTGTTGCTGCCTGGGGGCTGGCAGGGGATGGAGACCCCTAAGGGATGGAGAAGACACAACCACCCTTGATCTGGGATTGCAAAAATCCTTGTGCCAAACTAAACACATTTTTGGGCATTCCCTTCCAAACTGTGCAGTGCCTGACCCAGGAAGGGCTTTCCTGGTGTTTCCAGAGTGGGGTGCAGGATATCAGGAAGGCATCTCCTGTGCCATGGCCAAACTGGTGACACTGCTCTGTCCCATGTCTCTGTGTGGCTCCTCATGGTAAATTCCTGAGGTATTTTGGTACCAGAAGAAGGTGTTTGTGACTTTTTTTGGGAAGTGTCCTTATGAGGGGGTTGGATTATCCCATCTCAAAGAACTGGGAAGTCTCAAATGTCTTCTAAGTGACCCAGACCCAGGGCCACCTTCCAGAGTGGGGATTGGGCTCATGCACAGGGTCACCAGCATGGAAAACGGGGAGAAGGAAGAGGGAAAGGTCAATTTGAAATGCGTTTTTAACCCTCCCTTTGATGGGCACATTCCACACGGTACATCCTGCAGGAAAGGTGGGTATTTGGGACCAGGAGCAGGCCCATGAGCTGGGAATGAGCTTCTGGGGAGGACCTGCTGTCCCCTCATGTACATCTTGGGACACTCTGGGATTCTCCTGGGAGACTCTGCCGCCACACACCGATCTCTGCAGTGAAGGATGAGCTGAGCCACCTCTTCAATCCAGTTTCACAACCAGTTAATTTTGGAGCTCCTTCTCCATTAGAGCTCCTTCACCACAGCCCTGGTGTCACCCTCATTTATGTGTCACTCCATGGAGCTGGAATTAGGCAGCCCTCAGTAGCCCTTGGGGACATTTCAGGAGGTCCCTCAGGGAGCTTTGTGCGGGTTTTGGCAGTTGAGGATCTGCTCCCAGATGCCCACAGGGGCCGAAATATTTATTTATAGCTTTCCTTGGAAATCAGAAAATGGAAAATAAAATGGAGAGACATCTCCCAGGAAAAGGCAGGGAGCTATTTCCAGGCAACAGATCCTGAAATCGGGTGGCAGGAGTGGGATTTCAGGATGCCAGGATTTCAGGATGTCAGGGTTTCAGATTTTCAGGATGCCAGGATTTCAGGACGTCAGGATTTCGGGATTTTGGGATTTCAAGATGTCAGGATTTCAGGTTTTCGGGATTTCAGGATTTCAGGATTTCAGATGGATTATCCAGCATCCTCTCCGCCCTGGCGCTCCTCGCTGCTCCACCTTGATCTCATCACCTCCTCCCTGTGATGGGACGCTCAGCACCTGGATTGTCTGTGTGTCTCCTGGGGTTGGGATGCACCCTGGGGAGCACTGCCAAGCCCAGGGCTACTCCCAGCCCCGCTCCACAGAGATTTTTCCCCCCAAACCCATGCTGGATCTATACCCATGGAAGATGAGGTGCCTGAGGAGGCTGCAGGGCCTCTCTGGTGGTGGGAGGAGGCTCCTCTTGCTCATTTTCCCCAGTATTTAATTAACATTGCTGGAAGGTTGCCAGGATCCTATTAGGAGTGGGATGGGACAGATGTACACACAGGGACACACAGAACTTGCAGAGGATCTGTTTAGGGAGCAGTGGGGATGGGATGTACCCAGAGCCAGCAGCTTCTGTGGCTTTTTGGGCTCAGGGTTTGGAGAAGGCCTGGATGTGGGAAGAGTGGGATGAAGCCTCAAGGACTGGATGCCATCCCACAGCCCCTCAGGCTGGTGCTGGGATGTTCATGATGGATTCAGGATGCTCCTCACTAATTCTGGTGTCTGTTTTTTCCAAGCCCATCTGTTATTGCTCCAAACAGCTTTCCAAAAAAAAAAAAAAAAATTAAAATAAATAAAAAAAAGCAGTGCCTTGGTACTTACCCTGGGGTTAAATCATCCCTGTAATGGCAGCTTGGCAATCCCAAGTTTCCCAAATATTTGGGTGCATCTTTGTAGCTGTTTTGCTTATTTAATAAAACCTCTGTTTTCCAGACAAATACCTCAATGTGTGGAGTGGGAAGGATCCCAGGGTTTTCCACGGAGAAATCCCTTCCCTGTGTGTATTCCTGAGCCCTGGGGTCCAGTTTGGAGTTGTGGAAAGAGGGATGGGGCTTGAGTGGCTGAGGTGGGATCTGAGCCTCTCGGGTGGGCTTTGGGATATCCCCCATGGATGATCCAAGTTCTGCACCCCAACATCCATCCAGACCCCAGTGCTGCTGCTCTGTCCCCTCCTCTTCCTGATTCTCCTCATCCTGACAGGGTTTGGGAAGAAAAAGGAAAAATCCACTGAGTTTTTTCCTGCTGGACCTTGTTATCTTTGAATTCAGCTCCCCAAGGAATATCAGTGATTTCTGTTCCTGTGTCACCCACTGAGACAGGCAGCAAACGGCTCACCCAGGCAGCATTAAAAAAGCACATTTTTATACGTCTATAAAATAGAAGCAGGGAAAAAAAAGAAAATAGCATTCCTCAGAAAACTTCAGCCTCCTCAGCCAGGTTTTTTCTTCCCTTTTTGGCAGAGTGGCAGAGAAATGCAGCTCAGTATTGCCCCAATTCCTCTGATATTCCCAAAATACTGCAGGAGCTGCAGCTCTGGAATCTCCCAGGGTGCTGAGGATGGATCCTGTCAGCATTCCTCGGGTTTTTTGCAGTGCTGGATGTTTTGTTCATGGAGGGGAGGGGGCTGCACTCCCCCAGAGCATTGGGAAGCTGCAATATATTGAATTAAAGATCCTTGGATGCATCCAGGTGACCCCAATCCCACACCTGCGCTGCTCAGCTGGAGACATCTTTAGCTGTTAATTAACAAAGTCCTCTTGATTAACGGCAGCAGGAGGTTAATGACCAGGGGCAGCTCCAGGGGAACGTGCACAAACTGGAATCAGCATCCAGGGAAAGGCTGGTGGGGGGGAGCTGCAGCTCCAGGGCTGTTGGTGCCGGGATCTGCTGCTCTTTTTGGGGCAGAAATCGGTGAAATTGGGGTGCAACACCACCAACACCCCATGAAATCCGGAATTAGGGCAGTTGTGGGGATTTTAGGGTCAGTCAAGGGTCATGGTAAAGAAGAACAGCAGGTTTTGGAGATGGGGCACAAATCCTCCATCCCAGAACCCCTATCCCCAGCCTTGGAGCACCAACCCCTGTCCAGGACCTTTATCCCAAACCCTGGGACCCCCAACCTTCAGGCCAGGACCCCCATCCACATCCCTGTGATTCTCAGACCAGAATCCCCAGCCCACATCCTCAGTCCCCACCTCTTAAATCCTGCCACAACCATTCCCCCTCTCCCTCCCCCAGTTCCTCATTATGCTGTGGGGTTCAGCCCCCCAGATCCCAGAGATGGGAGCTGTGGCAGGACTGCTTCTCGCCCAGCACATCCCAAACCTGCCCCATTCCCTTTTCTGCTCCCCTGGATTTACCCAAACCCAAGGCTGGGTCTCATTTTCTGGGTGAAATTACCCTGGAATAGAACAAACCCTGCTCCTGTGGAACGTGTTACCATCCTTAATGACAGCTCTTTTTCACTTGGCTGTCACGGCCCTAAAATAAAGCTGTGCTTTCCCTCTCCCATAAATCACTGCCCTTGTTCCGAATTGGAATGAAATTTAAAATTAAGGAAAAAAAAGAGGACTAAACGTGTTCCCCTCTCCCTTTGCTGGGAGCCAGGTTTAAATTATCCCTGCTGTGTTCAGGCACGTTGTCAGCTGTAAATTTAAGGGGAAACAGCCAAGCTGATACATAAACCTGTTGGTTTTGTCAGGGATGGAGATGGCTGCTCTCTGATTTATGGCCCATCTCCCCATTCTGGGGTTTTTATGGAAGTTCTGCTACTGAGGGGTGTGTGGGGTGGGGTGGGGGGATTCCCTTTTTTTTTTTTAACACAGCTTTATGGGATTTAATTTGGGAAGTGGGGAACTCCTTCTCTCTGAGCCCTTCAGCATTGTTTGCATCACATTGGGGTATTCATGGATTTAGGGGATTTAGGAATTCCTGGATTCAGGAGGATCCAAAGGAGCATCCACTCCCTTTGCCAGGAAGGATCGCAAACCCTCCATCACCACAGCATCCAGGGAGCACAAACCCCACCCGGAATTGGGGGAAATGCGGGAGTTTTTGGTGCAGACGCCGTTGCCACGGCAACAGCCGAGCAACCCCTGCAGCCCTGGAGGCAGGAACGCTGCAGCAGCACCGGGAGGCAGGAAAACGCTCCCGGGGATGCGAGATTTGCCAAAAATAGATGATTTTTCCTGCAGGAATCCAGGGAGGAGGGGAGGTCACGGTCCTTCCAGCGGGGCAGGGCGGGCTGTGCCCACCCAGGGATGCTCAGGCTGAGTCAAGAGGAAAAATTTCGGCTTTTCAGCTTTTCAAATCCTCATGGAAAGGATGAGTGCTGCCTCCCCCAGGCAGCCGGGCGGGCTCGTAAATGTCAAGAGCTTTTCCCAGGAAAATGATGCGGGAGGGGTGGTTGGCTCCTTTTTTCCAGGGGGAATAGGAATTTTGTCCTTAAGTGCCAGTTCCATGTGGTTGAAACACAGCCCAGCGTTTAATAAATAAATAAAAATTCAGAGGATGAAGCTCTGGGATGGGGAAGCTGCTCCTGCATCAGTGGAACGAGGGGAAGGGGGGATCCCAGAATCCAGAGGTGCTGCCAGATGTGCTGACATGGTCATAACATATTCCAATTGCTCCATTTTGGTGCAATTTAAATGTGTTTAAAAAAATTAAGGAAAAAAAAAAAAGAAGCAATTGTGGTGCCATAAAAGGGAAAACAAAAAAATAAAAGAAGATGTAAATTGGTAGTGGGGAGATTCCCAGGGTTTTTTGGTGGGGTTTGTGGAGGTGCAGATGTGGGGTCCCCTCCCCTCTTCTCCCAAGCTCCAGCCCAGGCTCTGGGCGCCGCATGCAATGTCATCCCTTAATTGTTTTATCTGGCGATTAATTGGCTTTGAGGGGTTAATTACTGCCGAGGGGAGGCAGGGAGCTCTGCCCCTTGGGCGGCCGGGGCCTGTCAGAACAAATCAAGGTCTAAGTTGAGGCTCCATCCCTGCTTAAATAAAAAAATAAAATAGGAATTTCACCCACTCCATACTAGAAATCAGGGATAAATTGCACCCAGCTCTCGCTCTGGTGCCGAGGAAGGTCAGGAATAAATCCTGCAGTGAATCTCCCCCTTCCTAGCACACATCCCATTAAATCTGTAAGGACAGTCTCAAGGTACAGAAGATCCCAAAAAGGAGCAGCTTTGGCGGCGTTGTCAGTGCAGAAATGGCATTAATGGGATTTAAATACCTGTTAATGGGTTTAAATACAGAAATGGATTAATGGGATTAAAGGGGAGAGGAGCTGTTCTCCCTTTGCTCCCAACCTTGTCTGTGGTGGGTTGGGAGTGCTCAGGTGGCCCCACAAACACACAGGGAGGCAGAGCAGCAAGAAAACCTCTCCTTTAATTGCTGGGTTACCCTCAGGGTTTGTTCTGACATGACAACCCCGGGGCTGCCATGAGCAAAGGAGTGTGGGCTCAGCTCCAATCCCACTGCCAGGAATCCCAAAAAAACCTCCAGCTGCTTGTCAAGGGAAGAGTTAAAGAGTTAAAAAAGAGTTTGAAAGAGTTAAAAATGGGGCAGCTGCTCCCTCTGATCGAAATTCCCCCACTTCTTCAATAAAACAAGGAGCAGCCCAGCTCTGCTCCACACACACGTTAGAAAAATAGATTTTTATTGAAATTCTCCTTTTTTCTCCAGGGAGTTTTCTTCTCTCTTGGAAATAGAGACCAAGCAGGGTCCCTGGATTCAACCTGTGCCTGCATTTCTATCAGGATCAAGAGTTAAAAGCCAACTGGTGAATCTCTAACTCTAGAAAAGGCTGCGTACAATATATGGCTTTTGCACCTACATCCAGGGGGTTTTGCAGGTTGGGAGCTCATTTGGGACAAAGCCAGGATGGGGAGGGTGGCGTAGGATGAGGGGACAGCCAGGGACCACATGCAGCTGTGCACAAAGCCAGCCCGGAAATCGGCACATTCCCGGTGTGTGGGATCCTTTGGTTTGGCTTTGGAGCA